TGCGGGCCTAATATGACCAAGGCTTTGGCTAGAATAGCATTTCCAGACTGTGTTAAGGAATTAAGGAGGACTTTATAAGGCTAGTGAAAAAGCCCTTTGGAAAACTGGCCAGAAACCCAAAAAAACCCTTGGGCTTAAGCGATTCTCTTTCCTGAGCCTCCCATAGTAGCCGGGACTACAGGTGCCCACCTGTACTGGCTATTTTTAGAGACGGGGGTCTTGCTCTGGCTCAGGTTGGTCTTGAACTTGTGAGCTCAAGCAATCCACCTGCCTCGGCCTCCCAGAGTGCTAGGACAACAGGCGTGAACCACCGAACAGATAACCTCCCTATTCATTAGGGAAGTGCAAGTGACAACCACAACCAGCCGCCACCACTCAGCCTCTGGCATGGCTGAAACTTTAAATCCCAAGGGCTGCGAGGCTGCGGAGCAGCTGGCACTCTCACACTCGTGGAGATGTGCGTGGCACAGCTCTGGGGAGCGTCTTGGCAGCTGCAGGGAGTTATTATCAACAGTCCTCACCGTCCAACTCGCAGTCCCTCTAGGTGTTTACTGAGTGAAATGAAAACCTATGTTCGCAGAAACCTGCACATGCAACTTCACAGCCGCGCTGCGCCTAATCACCCTAACTGGGAAACTACTCGAGTGTCCTCCAGCGGCCAGTCGCCAAACTGGTGGCCTCGACAATAAAAAGAAGGGACCGAACTTCAGGGGCACGATGCTGAGCGCAGAGGCCAACTGTGAGACTCTCTCGGTGGTTCCATTGCCATGACCTGGGAAAAGACAAACCTGGAGCCCCAGAGCCCCAGCGGCTTCGCCCAGTGGCTGGGGAGGGATTGCCCCGAAGGCCCCAGCACGTTGGAGGCAGCCTCTCGCTGCGCCCTCGGCCGCGCGCCTGTGAGCTTTTGGAAGCCCAGCAGAATCACGAAGCGAAGTGAAAAGGTGGCTTCTACGGCGCGGGAGACTTAGCTGGAGCTCATGGGTAATGATCAGGATGAAAGGGATGAAAGGAGCACTGTCTAGATCCAATTTGGATCCTCCGGATTC